TGGATAATAAAGATGTTTTCCTCAAATGGGCACTGTGTTCATTAACATATTTGCATAGATCTTTTTAACTTTTATTTTTTTTTCTTTTTTTTTTAAAATATTTATTTATTTATTATGTATACAACATTCCTTCCATGCCTGCCTGCATGCCAGAAGAGGGCACCAGATCTCATTATAGATGGTTGTGAGCCACCATGTGGTTGCTGGGAATTGAACTCAGGACCTTTGGAAGAGCAGGCAATGCTCTTAACCTCTGAGCCATCTCTCCAGCCCTCTTTTTAACTTTTAAATTATTAAATTTTGGTAATAATTTCATAGATGTACTCAACACATTTGTGTTTCATTGCTAACCTTCACATTCTTGTGTTTTCACAGTCTTTGTCCCCTCTTTGTCGTGTTCCCTGGGATTTGCAACAGGTCATATGGATTTCCTCTTCTTGGCTGTGCAGTCAGCATTCACTCATTTCTCTGTGTGTGACTAGCATCGAGTCCCTGAACTAATTTTCCCATTGTAAAACAAAGTTCTCAGACTGAGACTCAAAGTAGACCAAGCCATGGTCTGACCAGAGCCAGTTAAAGGCAGTTTGAGCATCTTTATATGTAGAAAATATCAAGAGTGAGTTCTTTCCTATGGCCTATCACCCTCCAGTCATAGGTTCTTGGAGACGTTTGCAGTGCATCACACATATTTTTTTCTCTGGAAATGGCCAAAATTCAAAACAAATCATTTCATCACACAGACAACTGTCTTTACACTATAGCACTGCTTAAGGAATCCAAGGGAAGCGCCCACCCAGCTGTGATCCAGGAAAAAGCTTCTTGTGCAGTGGTGACACACACAGGATCAGTCAATGTATGTCTAAAATCTGAGTCGTGACCAGAAAGACGTTGATTTTTTACCAGCTCTCTCAAGTTTGTTTAACACCGTTTGCTGAATTATTTTATATGCAGAAAAGTTTCCCCAAGGAGCAAAGTCATTTGTGTCTACAGGGTAAAGAGGGGCATGTTTTTTTTTTTTTTGATTTTTGAGACAGGGTTTCTCTATGGCTTTGGAGCCTGTCCTGGAACTAGCTCTGTAGACCAGGCTGGTCTCGAACTCACAGAGATCCGCCTGCCTCTGCCTCCCGAGTGCTGGGATTAAAGGCGTGCGCCACCACCGCCCGGCAAGAGGGGCATGTTACTGGTTGTAAATGAGATCTAGTGAGACACCACATGGTGTGGTGGCTAGCCTGTTGCTGATCTATCTTTCCTCCAAGCTCCACAAAGGACATACGTTGCCTGCCTGTTTAGTAAAGTGGCACGGGATACACATGTAGGTAAGGTCATTGATGACTCTTCTCTTCCACTAGCTTACACTGTACCTTTTGGTATTGTGAGTGCTACCATCAGGTATAGTTTGTTAGATACAGTGTTCATCTTAGTGGTCTGCTGTCTTCTTGCCTCTGTGTTTTTCAGATGTACAATATAAGCTGAATTAGAGCATGCTTGGTTTAAGGCTTATTTCAAAGATCCTCAATCTGAGTTTCTCATGTAATATTTATTATTTTTGAAGTTGAGAATTGTTTTGTTTTTTACAACTTGGAATAGGTTGCTCTCTGATCTATATTATCACTTTTAATTGAGATTTTTCCTTTTCTTCTTTTCTGGGTAACACCTGATGCACGTTACTGAGTTAGTGTGGACTGAGTGGGCACCCATGTACCTGTCCTAAGAAGATTGAAATCTTTTTAGTTTTCCTTATGTAGGAAATTACAGGATTTAGGTTGGTGGCTTTTAGTTTTTATTAGTCTGATGTGTGTTCCCCCTATTTCCAGATTCCTTAAATATTTGATAATGGGCAAATATGAAATTCTCCACAGACCTTCTTTTATGGATGTACTAACATGATCATAATCCTTCTTTCAGAGTCTAGATAATTACTGCATGAGATTGATCCATCTGTACATGCTGAAACAATCTTGCATCTGCTCACTTTGGTAGGTAATATAGTGGTTCACATTCATGGCTTCTGCAGCCTCCAGAGGGATTTCTCCTGTTTGCACTAGTTTGCATTCCCATCATGATTTACAGTAGGAACCACTTTTCCATGTGCTCAGCTGCATTTGTGGATCACTGCACTGCTTTTCCTCGCTTTATTGATACACGGCCTTATTATGTATTGTTTCTGGCCTGGAACTCACTGTGTTGACCAGGCTGGCATGGTGTCTAAGGGGTTCATTTGCCCCTTTCTCTGTAGAGGATGAGGATGCATTAAGGGCATTCCCACCATGCCTGGTTCCACCATGGGTCTTCTTAATATTGGTTATTGAATGTTATCACAGTGAGAAGCACTAAGCGTTGGTTTTGAATTTGCAGTTTCATAACTAAGGATGATAAGTCCTTTAATATATATTACATTTAATATGTATATTTTGGTTTTTTGCAGAGATGGCTCAGCTGTTTAGAGCAATTGTTGCTCCTATAGATGACAGTATTTTCCAGTTCCCACTTCATGGCTCTCTCTTGTCCATAAGTCTGTGTCCAGGGAATCAGTTTCCCTCTCCTGCCCTCTGGAAACAATGGACATTCATGTGATTCTCATATGTACATGCAGACAAAACATGGATGTACATAAAATAAACATCTAATTACTTTTAAAATTAAAAACTTAAACATTTCTCTCTATATGTATGTATGTTTTTGCTTTCTTGTGGTTTGTTTTGTTAAACCTTTGTCTGATTTTGGATTATGCATTTCTTTTGTATTAGATGGTTTAGAATTCATTTCCTTCATTAGTAGCTGTTTGTTCAGCCTAGTTATTAACCCCTTTTGTGAAGAAAACCTCCCAAGTATTTATTTCATGCTCATAGCTACCATTCATTCTTCAGATACTTTCTGAACTTCATATTCCATGAAATCTCTTCGTTGTTGCCATGGTTATTTTCCTGTCTCCTTGGGCTGTCTTCAGACAGCATTTGCTTATTTTTGAATCGTTAAGAATTTAGTCATGTTTTCATGCAGGACTTTCAGCATTTCAAGCTTTCCAGGAATACCCTTTATCTAGTTTGAAATGATTTCTCTGTAGGGTAAGAGATAGGGATCTAATGACATTCTTTCTGCATGTGAACAAGTGTTTTGCTAGCATAGGCTGTTCCTACGGTTCTCTCTTTTCCTAGGTTCATTTGTGACATATTTGTCCTGGGTTTGGTCTCTACTATGTGTCTTTATTCTGGGCTGTGTCTTCTGCTTCCTTTTCTTCATATGGATGACTTTGTCTTTGTTCCTATGACTCTGTATATTTGTGATTTTCCTTTGTCCATATATACTTTTTTGAAGAATGTCAGTAATTTGTATGATGAGGATTGTGTCAGTTTTGTTACTTGCTCTTAATAATAAAGTCTTTGAGCTGGTGGTTGTGGCACACGCCTTTAATCCCAGCACTTGGGAGGCAGAGGCAGGAGGATCTCTATGAGTTCAAGGCCAGCCTGGTCTACAACAACCAGTTCCAGGACAGGCTCTAAAGCTACAGAGAATCCCTGTCTCGAAAAGTCAAATAATAATAATAATAATAATAATAATAATAATAATAATAATAGACTGGAGAGATGGTTCGCTGGTTAAGAGCACTGATTGCTTTCCCACAAGGCCCAGGTTCAATTCCCAGCTTCCAAAAGACAGCTCAAAACTATATGTAACTCCAAAATCTGACACTCTCAGGTAGGCATGCATATAGGCAAAATGTGCATGAAAATAAAAATAAATTATAGAAAAAATAATAGCCTTTAGTCATGTTGTTTGCTGTAGAGTGCGTTTTTCCTTACTGCCGTACAATTTCCCACAGAGAAGTAATCTACCTTATCCTTTAGACTTATCCCTAGATCTTTTGGAAACAAATCTGTGTGGTTGGTTCTCTATTTCTTAAATTGTCATTATTGATAAATAGGAAATGTAGTGATTTTTGTGTGTGTGTGTTTTGTATTTTTCAATTATACTTAGCGTATTTATCAACGCTACAATTTTCCTATGGTATCTTTGTGGTATTTTCTGTATGACTTGTCGTCATTAAAATGGAGTTTGAAATCATGCTTTCCTGATTCTCCTTTCTATCCTTTCTTTGTCTTAATCAGATTTCTCTAGCCCACTCTTATGTCTCTATGTCCAAAAGAAGAGCACAAGTGTCTTCCTCTCCTCACAGTCTTCCTGCTAATGCTGTTCATTTTTTCTCTGAACTGTACTGTTGGCCTATATGTGACACACATGATCTTTTATTTTCCCTTCCCTTATTCTTTTTTTTTTGTTTTTTTTTTTTTTTGTTTTTCGAGACAGTGTTTCTCTGTAGCTTTGGAGCCTGTCCTGGAACTAGCTTTTGTAGACCAGGCGGGCCTCGAACTCCCAGAGATCAGCCTGCCTCTGCCTCCCGAGTGCTAGGATTAAAGGCATGCACCACCACTGCCTGGCTTCCCTTCCCTTATTCTTGTAGGTTAAATTACTAACTTCTCTCTAGCTAGGAATAGTGTTTGATACAAAGAAGGAAAGAGAAACGGTGGTTTGCTGGTTTTGTGACTTGTACATGGTCTGTATTCCCTTGCTCTCCTATTTATCTGTTTCTAATGTAAAATGTCTTATTTGCTGTGTTCTCCTGCATCATTTCTGTGAGTTTTGGATGTATAATTTGCCTCTGGTTAGGATCTGCACTGCTGCTTGAGTGCATGGCCTATGTTATTACACAGTTTTCTTCCAGAATGGTTCCTTCTCTGTGAGCTGTAAGAGCCAATGTTTCCGAATGCAACATAGTCATTTTCTTTTCCCACTTTAAACACATCCTTCCCTGCTCTCCTGTCTGTAGGGTTGGTGACAGGACCTCTGCTATCTTCCTGGTGTTTCAATCTTTTTATGTGTGTTGGCATTGTTCATTACAGTTGCATTCATTTTAGGTTCATGTTTTTGACACCTTGATGTGAAATGCCAAGAAGAGCTCTGGTGTTCCTGAGACAGAAACTCAGAGAGGAGCCACAGGAAGAATGGATGCTTCTACTGCAGATGCTTCCCAGGTCAGTGTCATGGCCACATTTCTTTGGGAATTGTTTTTATTATTGAAACCATGCAAGACCTTATTCTCTGCCTGTGGTAATGTTATGTAAAGTGGTTATTTCTTATGGTACCTTTTTCTTTTTCTTCTCTGATAATCAAGATTACGTCTTTTAGTCTTGTCCCCTACACAGCAGAGCCTTGTCTCCAGGGAATCCTCCCTTTATTATCACTATGAGGACATAGGTTTTATAGACCTGCCGTTCGGAAAGTGGTTCTATTGTGAATGATGATTAAAGAAATGTAATGACAGCCACTTCTTAAATTGGCTGGAATTGTGGTTCTCAGTATATTTTCAGGAACTAAGGTCTTATATGTCACATTTATTACATTTCAACAATGCTCAGCCTTCCAGAACCAAGCTTATAAAAGTTGACATGGAAACACATGAAATTTCTATTGGCATCATTGAGCAATTTGAGAAGAAGCAGAATTAGAAGAGTCTCACTCATTTGATTCCCAATACTAACTAACTATTTCAGCACCCTAGAGGGGTGGCTTGCTCCTGTCATACAATGATGGTTTTTGTGAGGTGACACAGATTACAGTATACTGGTTTCTCTCTTTGACAGCTGGCATCACATAGAGACGATGCACATGTGTCTTTGTTCATTGTGGGAACTGCTGTTCATATCATGTTCGTGACTCCATTGCTCGGTGATGAGTTCTCAATAGATAGAACAGAATTTTCCCTTTGTCTTTTCTTTGTCAGACAGGGTGTAAACAGGCACTTGTATCATGTGGGATGTGTTAATTAGTACAAGTCTTCTAGAGGTTGACTGGTTGCTGTTCATAAGCAATCTCTTTTCAAGCAGAAACTAGGTTCCTATAATCTTCTTTAGGAGAAGGAAGGCTCCCTCCATGATATGTTCTTCCTTTCCCTGATGGTACTCTATTTCATAGGTAGAGATTCTGAAGAGAGGTAGTTGCCAGGTTTACATTTCTGGTACACTTCATGACAGAGCCAATGTATAACCTTGCATGTTCTGTTTTGTGAAAAATAAAGGAAGAATCATAAATGATATTTATTTATGCAATCTAAAATCATGTTATAAGATTGAGATCAAATAGTGAAGTAATAAGTTTCAATTTTTCAATTGAGTCAATCTTATGGGCAATAATATATTCCAAATTAATGAAGAGTCAATAAAGTCTCATCTGATTTAATGCATTTACTTCAATCACAGAAAATCTTTCTACTTCATCTGATTGCACTGTTATAGGTCATTTCATTGCACATATTTTTTTCTTTTTTAATATTTATTTATTTATTATGTATACAATGTTCTGTCTGTGTGTATGCCTGCAGGCCAGAAGAGGGCACCAGACCTCATTACAGATGGTTGTGAGCCACCATGTGGTTGCTGGGAATTGAATTCAGATCCTTTGGAAGAGCAGGCAATGCCCTTAACCACTGAGCCATCTCTCCAGCCCCCGCACATATTTTTTTCTAACTAGTTTGTAAAATCAGCTCATGGGATTTCTGAAATTTTTAGTCATCTATATTGGTTTCAGAAAAATTTATATATAATGTTAATGCTGTCTGATGTTGATTTTTCTTTTTACTTTATGGTTGTCTCATGAAATGACTTTATAAAAAAAAGAAATAAAAGTAAATTTTTAAAGAAGGAAACAAAATAGGAATTACTGCTGTGAGGTATCTTGGAGGAGGTATATTATAGATAAATGGAAGAGCATACTCAGAGGCAGAGATGTCTGGGAGAATCCACAGTGGACTATGACTGAGCCAATATGAGGGGGACGGAAGTAGGGAAAGTCAGGTGACCAAGAGACCAGGAAAGTAAATGGTAACAAGGATGAAAAAGAACCGACATAATCAAGCTGGATGTATTGGGACAACCCTGAGTTGGAGAAATTTAAGTTTGGGGGTGGGGTATGCCAGCCACACCCTGCTACCAGATAGGGACTGAGGGATCTAGGGGATTCTAGCAGCCAGTGTCTGCTTTGGTATATTAATAGGTACCCCAGTTAGCCTTTTATCCTAGGTTTGATACCTAACAACAACCTCACAGAGATGCTTGAAATGCCTTATGTAGCACTGATGTTAAGTTCCTTAGGGTTTAAGAAAACAAAACTCTGACCTTTAATTCATCTTTCAATTTTGCCTCTTACAATGTACCTCTTTGTTTTGCCAAGGATGCAGCAGTTACTGATGCCTGAGCATCTGAACTGAGCATTTTATAGTAGAGTTGGGTGAAACCCATATCATTGGTTTGGTGTTCATATTTGAGCAAGGCTGACAGTTGTAGAATTTGGAAGCACAGTTTTACTCCTCATAACTTTTCCATCTGAAATGTGACACTATCCTGTTTGATGTCAACATACTCTTCAAAATGGCACAGTCCTGTACCTAGACCTCAGATGTGTATCTTATTCCCTTCAACTTTGCTGATTGTGAGGCCATTATGTCACCTTGTTTTCCCAGACATAGTAAGTACATCATAAAGGAGGACTTCTAGAAAGTATCTTTCAGTAAAAGTAACTTAAATTTTATTTTCAGTGTGAGGATGTTTTCATAGTATTCTGTTGCCATGAAGGAACACCCTGACCATGGCATCTCTCATAAAAGAAAGCATTTAATTGGGGGCTGGCTTACAGCTTAAGAGAGTCCCTTCATCATCATGGCAGGAAATATGGTAACAAGCAGGCAGACATGTAGTTGGAGAAGAAGCTGAGAATTCTCTATCCAGACCTGCAGGTGGCAGGAAGAGTGAGAGACTGTGGGCTTGGAAAGGCTTTTTTGAAACCTCAAAATCCACCCACAGTGAAGTACTTCATTCAGTAAGACTACATACACCTCCTCATTCTTTTATTTTTTTTAAAGATTTATTTATTATGTATACAACATTCTGCCTCCATGTATGCCCGCACACCAGAAGAGGGCGCCAAATCTCATTACAGATGGTTGTGAGCCACCATATGGTTGCTGGGAATTGAACTCAGGACCTTTTGGAAGTGCAGCCAGTGCTCTTAACCGCTGAGCCATCTCTCCAGCCCCCTCATTCTTTTAAATAGTGCTACTCCTTGGTGACCATGTATTCAATCTGTTAACAAAATGGGGCTGTTCTCAAACCACCACAGGTGTATTTACCAGAATATGTACATGAGTGCAATGTTGCCTTCTACTTGTAGAGTTCTGAAGAGAAATTAGATCCCATGAAAATGGAATTAAATCCTGTTGTGTGGCGCCATGTTTGTGCTGTGAACCAAACTTGGTCCTCTGAAAGAAAGATCAATCAGTGCTCTTAAATTTTTAATTTTGTTTTTTGGGTTTTTTGTTTGTTTTTTGAGGCAAGATTTCTCTGTAGCTTTGGTTCCTGTCCTGGAACTAGCTCTCTTAGACAAGGCTGGCATGGAACTCACAGAGATCCACCTGCCTCTGCCTCCCTAATGCTGGGATTAAAGGTGTAAACCACCACTCGGCCAGTCATTGCTCCTGACAATTGAACCATGTGTACAACATGTCTAGAAAACTTATTTTTCAATAGTTATCATGCTTCCTCTTGATCACAATAGTGTCTTTAATTCCTTAGGTCTCTTTTCTCTAAGAAAGCATTCTGCCAGTGGCACATGATAACTGTAATATTTCACTACAGGGTATATTGACGTTCCGGGATGTGGATGTGAACTTCTCCCAGGAGGAGTGGGAATGTCTGGACTCTGCTCAGAAGTCTTTGTACATGGATGTGATGCTGGAGAATTACAGGAATCTGGTCTTTGTAGGTAAGAATGCTCTTCTTATACAATTCCTAACCCATCCTTTGTATTTACCCAATTTATACATATTTAAACTCAGATCTCTAACTACTTTATGGTATTTCCTTTGAATTGGTCTGTCTTCTCTTTAAGAGTAACCCAGGGTATATTATACGTGATATCTCAACTCTCTTATTTCCTTTGTATTGAAAACTTCAAAGTTCAAATACAGTGGAATATTTATAGCAAATCAATGCATTGCAGAACATTTAGTATTTTAAATGTTTTCATTTTACATTGGATTAAACTAAACAAGAATTTTGATAACAAAAGATGACTTTTAAAATTTGGTGCTTTCGATGATGAACAAGCTTTTTTCTTAGATGGGAGCCTATATTATGCTTAGGAGTACATGATTGTTATCTAGGTAGCCAGGAGGTTAAAGAAAGATGATGTGGTTCCTTCCATGTCACTTTACATAGGGAATTTATAGGCAACCAAGTCTACATACTAGGACTGTCTTTTTTTTCCTTGTTTTTTTGTTTTTGTTATTTTGCTTTTTGTTGTTTTGTTTTGATTTTCGTGTTTTTTTTTTTTTTTTTTTATTTTGGAGAGTTTATCTGTGGCTGTCCTGGAGCTCACTCTGTAGACCAGGCTGGCCTCAAACTCCCAGAGATCCACCTGCCAGAGGAACATTTCATATATGAAGTTCAGGGAACTTCTTTCTGAAAAGGTGTCTTTTTCTTCATCACCAATGTCAACCTACTGTAAAACATGCAGTTTCAGTAAGAATGAGATGGCTGTTAGGAGTCCTCACAATGTGATGGAGATCAGATTGGAGGTTCTTCTGAACATCCAGACAATGATCATGAAGCACAAAAGCCTCTGCAAGCTTTCTTGTCTTAAAGAACTTCTGAGTTATTATTTGTTATTCTGAGTTATTCTGAGTTAATATTTGTTATTGAATTTATTGTCCTTGCATCAATCCTTATTATGTCTCATTGTGTTAATTTGCCAGAGAACCATCGCAAGCATAAGTATGGGAAGGTCCTGGATCAAGGCTCAAAGTATATTGTCCATCATCATGTGACTATCCAAGAGAAGTCTTATAAGTGTACTGAGCTTGGCAAAACTCTTCATGAATCTTCCCAGTGTACATCCTATGACACAAGTGAATCTGCCGAAAACTACAAAAACAGCACACGTGTTAACCACAGGGATACTGCTACTGAATCATCCCACCTAGAGAGTCATAAGAGCATGCAGTCTGGAGAAGAACCCTGCAAACATAAAGACTGTGGCAATTCTTTAAATTTGTCTTCCACCAGTAGTCAAAATGAGAGGGTGCAGACTGAAAAGAAAGAACAGAAATATTCAGAGGATGATAAATCTTTTGACTCTCAATGTAAACCTGTGCTACAGCAGATCTGTAATGATGGGAAACCACACCAATGCAGAATATGTAAGAAATGCTTCTGGAACCACTCAAACCTCAGGAGACATGAGATAAGTCATACTGGGGAGAAACCTTACAAGTGTAGGCTATGTGGTATATGCTTTGGGTATTCAACAGCTCTCAAAAGGCATCATTACAGAATCCACTCTGCAGAAAAACTTTACCAATGTAACAAGTGTGGGAAAGCCTTCTGTAGCTACGCATACCTTACAAATCACCAGAAAAATCTTGAAGAGAGACCTTATGGATGTAAACAATGTTGTAGTTCCTTCAGTACTTTGTCACGTCTTGAAAACCATTACAGAACCCATAACAGAGAGAAAACTTACAAATGCAGTGAATGTGGCAAATCCTTTTACACCTCTGAACGTCTTAAAAGACATCAGAGCATTCATGCTGCAGAAAAAGCTTATGAATGTAAAGAATGTGGAAAGCGCTTTTATGGGTTCTATCAGCGTAAGAACCATTACAGAACCCATGTCAGAGAGAGACCTTACACTTGTAATGATTGTGGCAAATGCTTTATCTGCCTGCAACATCTGAGAACCCATCAGAAAGCTCATAAAGGGGAGAAACCTTACAAATGTAGTGAGTGTGACAAATCCTTTGTCCGGAAATACAACCTTAGAATCCACCAAAGAATTCATTCCGGAGAGAGACTTTACAAATGTAATGAGTGTAAGAAATCCTTTGTCCAGAAAGGCAGGCTTATAATCCACCAGAGAATTCATACGGGAGAGAAGCCTTACAACTGTAGTGAATGTGACAAAGGCTTTACGTCCTTCGCTGGTCTTAGAAGTCATCAGAGAGCTCATACTAGGGAGAAAAGCTCCCCTGGTAAGTGATGTGCATGTGCTTTATGCAGGGCTTTCTCCTTAAAGGCACAGTACGTTACTCTGTGCCTTTAAGAATCACTGTGAACATGAGGAACTTTTGACAGACATCATGGAATGTTCCAATCCAGCAAACCTCAGGAGATTATCCTGAGGAAAATTCTGAGAATTTGAAACCAGGGGGAAAACCTGTTGTGAAGTTCTTTTACCTGTTCAACTTTAAAAGCTTATAATAAAGACAAAACAGAGAAGCCTGGAGAATGGGCTGTTGTGTAGTAGTTGCCTAGAAACTGAGATATTCCATCCTGAAGGAAGCTGATTAAGAGAGAAAAGAAGTACCACTAAATTTCTTCAGGAAAACCCTAAAATTGTGCAGATTCAGTAGACATAATGCTGTTGAAGAAACTCAGAGTACTCATATTGCCTAGAAGTCTCTCTAACCAACTGAGCCACCAAAACAAGATACTGTCCACCTTGTAGATATGACTGCTGGCTTTCATTTTGCTTCTTTTAAAGAAAAAACAAGGATAAAATGAGGATCTTTGTAGTTTGGAACGTTAACACTGTGTATCTGAACCAAGAGTGATATGAGCAGCAATTTCCCAGAGACAAGCATATAATAAATGTCAATAGACTAAATCTCATTGCTGTCACATTAAAAATCAAGTAGACAAATAAATCTACTCACAAGAGTGTTGTAGGGTGGGACTCTTGTGTGTCTTGGCTGCCTGGCTAGCTTACACTCAGAATAACCATGTAGAAACTGTATCAATTAAAACACTGCTTGGCCATTAGCTCTAACTTCTTATTGGCTAACTCTTACATATTAGTTTATCCCATCTCCATTAATTTTTGTATCACGATGTGGCAGTGGATTACCGGATATTCTAGCAAGAGTCCATCTCAGAGGAGGATCCATGGCTTCTCTCTTTCTCTCTGCCCTTCTTCTTCCCAGCATTCAGTTCTGTTTTCTCTACCTACCTAAGTTCTGCCCCATCAAGTAGGCCAAGGCAGTTTCTTTATTCATTAACTAATGAAAGCAACACAAAAACAGAAGGAACTCCTACACCACAAGAGCATCGACTTTAGAACAAGACCAGTTCGATTTGTCTGCCATCTTCATTGCTCACTAGAGAGTTAAATCTTAACTAATCGGCTCAAAGACAGGGCAAGTCTTTTTATGTATTCTTCAATATATTTTTCGGATTCTAGCAATAGGTTGCATATTTACATGTGTGCTTTCATGAGCCTTGTTTTGGAAAATTGATGAGCCCCTGGAAGCTACATAATACTGAGACCACTTGCCTCTCAACACTGCTTTCATTGTGCACCATAAATTTGGGTATGTTGTGTGGTCATTTTCATTGAATTTTAGGAAGTCTTTAATTTCCCACTTTATTTGTTTCTTGACCCATTGATGATTCAGGTGAGCATTGTTTAATTTCCATGTGTATGATTTAAGCTTTAGAAGTATTTCTTTTACATATGAGGGTGCCCTTGTATTTGGAGCATAGATGCTCAGTATTGAGATTTCCTCTTGATGGATTTTTCTTGTGGCTAATATGAAATATCCTTCTTTGTCTCTTTTGACTGAAATTAGCTTGAAGTCTATTTTGTTAAATATTAGTATAGCTACACCTGCTTGTTTCTTAGGTCCATTTGATTGGTATATTTTTTCTCAACCTTTTACTCTGAGATGATGTCTGTTTTTGAGGTTGAGATGCATTTCTTGTATGCAGAAGGATGGATTCTGTTTCATATCTAATCTGTTAGCCTGTGACTTTTAATGGGTGAGTTGAGTCCATTAACATTAAGGGATATTAACGACCAGTGATTGCTATTTCCTGTTAATTTAGTTTTCATCGTTGGTGGTGTTAATTTGTGTATTTTTTTCTTGTTCGAAATTTGCTGTAATGAGGTCATCAATTGTGTGTCTTTTTGTTGGTGTAGCCGTCTTCCTTGGGTTGGAGTTTTCCTTCCAGTATTTTGTGTAGGGCTGGGTTTGTGGTGAAATCTAGATTTGTCATGGAATATCTTGTTTTGTCCTTCTATGATGATCAACAGTTTTGCTGGGTATAGTAATCTGGGCTGGCATCCGTGGTCTCTTAATGTCTGCATAATGCTTGACCATGACCTTCTGGCTTTCATTGTCTCCACTGAGAAGTCAGGTGTAATTCTGATAGGTCTACCTTTATATGTTATTTGGCCTTTTTCCTTTGCAGCTCTTAATATTATTTCTTTACTCTGTATGTTTAATGTTTGATTATTATATGGTGAAAGGACGTTTTGTTTTTTTTTTTTGGATCCAGTCTATTTGGTGTTCTGCAAGCTTCTTGTGTCTTCATAGGCATATCTTTCTTTAGGTAGGGAAAGTTTTCTTCTATGATTTTGTTAAATAAATTTTCTGTGCCCGAGTTGAACTCCTTCTCCTTCTATACCTATTTAAGATTTGGTCTTTTTATATTGTCCCATATGTCATGGATATTTTGGGTTAAGCTTTTGTTAGATTTAATGTTTTCTTTAACTGATGAGTCTATTTCCTCTGGTTTATCTTCAGCACTTGAGATTCTCTCTTCTATTTCATGTATTCTGTTGTTCATACTTGCATTTGTGGCTCCTGCTCTTTTTCTCGTGATTTCTGTTTCTATAATTCCTTTGGCTTGTGTTTTCTTTATTTTTCCTATCTCAGTTTTCAAGTCCTTAATAGTTTCATTGATATTTTTGAGTTCTTTTTCTTGGTTTTCTTTAAGTGATTTGCTGATATCTTCCAATTTTTTGTTTTTTTCCATTTCTTTAAAATAATTTCTCATTTCATCTTTAAGAATTTCAAACATTCTCTTAAGGTTATTTTTTAGATCATTTTCTTCTGGTTCATCTATATTAGGTTGTTCAGGTCTTACTTTTGTAGTGTCTTTAGGTTTTACTGGTATTGTGTTGCTCTTTGTGGTGTAGCATGTGATCTTACCTTTTCTACTCATCTTTTCCTCTAACAGGTGTGGTTGGGGCTGTCTGAGATTCTGTTGAATAATCTTCCAGGTGCCAGTTAATCCAAAGCACAGATGGTTGTTCCTCATTGGTTATTCCTGTTCCTGGAGGTCTCTCAGTGCTCCTGTGGTTTGGTCCTCTCCCCTGGAGTTTGTCGTCTCATGCCTACTTTGGCCTAGGCTGCTGGCTTTGATCTGTTTCTGTAAATTTTGGTCTGGATCTCCTCTTGCAGAAGTCCCTGGCTTTGATTTAGATCTGTTCTGGTGGTGATCGCTGACTCTGGATCTGTCACTGGTTCAATCGTGATCCTCCTGTGTCCCTGGACTGGGTTTGTTCCTGGGTTCTGCTCCTGGTGGAGCTTGTTCTCTCTGTGTCTCAGGTAACTGGTTCAGTCCCACTCCAGTTCCGGTGGAGGTTGCAGACTCTGAGTCAGGTCGTTGGCTCAATCCTGGTCTGCCAGCATCCCAGGCCTGGGTTGGCTCCCAGAGCTGGGTTTACTCCTGGTTTTGGCTCCCAGTGGAGCCTATTTCCTCTGGCTCTCTCTGTTCCAGGGTCCTGTTCAATTCAGCTCCTGTGGAATTTGTTGCCCAAGGTGAAGTTCCTTGCCTCAGGGCAACTCTGACTGAGGTTACCAGCTTTGACCTGTGTTTGTAGATCCTCTTCTGGATTCCCTCCTAAAGAAGTCCCTGGATTTGACTTGGACCTGTCCAGTAGAGTCTAGGATTTTTTTATTGCTTTATAAATAATACCATTTAAAATTTCCACTTCCTCCCCTCCTCCCACTCCCTCACTCACTCTCCCCCCACATCACAGAATCTTGTTGAACTTTGTCTTAGCGTTTCCATTTCTCTCCTGGTGGATACAATTACTAGTAGTATTTCTTTCTCTTACCTCTAGTTAGAAATGGTGTGCTATTTCCGTGTGTTGGATACAGTCTGTTCCTCCTCAGCTCTCCTCTATTCATCTATTATTCCTTATGTAAAATGTCTTATCTCCTGTATGTTTCTCTCTGATTTTTCTATGTATACTTTGCCTCTAATTATGAACTGTAGTGCTGCTTTGAGTACATGAGCTATGTTGTTCATAATATTTTCTTTTCTTTTTTTTTTTTTTTTGGTTTTTTGAGACAGGGTTTCTCTGTGGTTTTTGGAGCTTGTCCTGGAACTAGCTCTTGTAGACCAGGCTGGTCTCGAACTCACAGAGATCTGCCTGCCTCTGCCTCCTGAGTGCTGGGATTAAAGGCGTGCGCCACCACTGGCCGGCCTGTTCATAATATTTTCGAGTGAACTTCCTTCTCCATGAATGTAGGACCAATGCTTCTGGGTACAGTATGGCTCACAGTTATTTCCTTTTACTGCTTCAACATATCATATCCTTCTCTCTTTTCTGTTGAAACGCTTGTTATGATTATGGCACAAAGTGGGACCTTTAGTGGGTCCCATGTGGGTGAAAGACAATGCACCATGAAGATAGAGTTTAAGTGTGGAGTGTACTGAAAGAAGGGTAAGGGGGAGAGAGACACAGAGGAGGTGGCGGGAGGAAAGAGAGGCAAAGACCAGCTTACCTCTTTGGAGGAACAGGGCCAAGAGGAACAGGGAGTAAGCAGGCTTGTCTCTTAAAGGGACAGGGCGCTGTCTGCCTTGTAGGCAGACTTGTCGCAGGGTGTGATGCACTGTGCCAGATTCCCAAGGGGCACAACGAACGTGTGCAAGGATCATAACATTCCTCCCTTTACTTATTTATTTATTTATTTATTTATTTATTTAAGATTTCTGCCTCCTCCCTGCCACCGCCTCCCATTTCCCTCCCCCTCCTCCAGTCAACTCCCCCTCCCTAATCAGCCCAAAGAGCAGTCAGGGTTCCCTGCCTGGTGAGAAGTCCTCCCTTAAATTTTATTAAAAAGATGAGGAGTTAGGCATGTCTGGATTTGGCATAGTATAATCTTATGAATATCCTATTTTGAAGTTTTTCATGACACGTTTTTTGGATGGGGCATTCTTGCACACGAGGGAAATGTTA